TCTCTCTCTTGCTTTTTTATTGGTGAGATCTTTCTCATTTGATTATTCCATCTATTTAGATGATGATTGTTGTTGTTGGTAATTAAGAGTTTCTCTTTTAATGTATTCATCTAGTTGTAACTAGGTAAAACTTGTTGTCCATACTATTTGATTGATAGTGGAAGTTTGTGGATTTCGGTCCCATGGTTTTTACCCTCATATTGAGGGGTTTTTTATGTAAATCTTGGTGTCTTTGTTATTTCTTGTATTGTGTTTGTTAAATTGATTCTGTATATTGTTGCTTGCTATTTGATTGTTAATCTCTTTGATTTGCACAAGGAAATACAAATGGGTTTGTTTCCCGAACATAGCCCCTATTCCCACAAACCAAACAGAGCCTAAATTTGCAAGATGCCTTTGGCAAAAAACTTCTCCTCAATGCAGCTCAATCAAAGTTAAAACCCTCTCAAATGCATTCTTTGTTACTTTGGACCTTAAAAGCATAAATCCTAAAAGTACCAAACACAACATTGTTTAAACTAATTTACTTTTAAGTTTAATTATCAAAGTAGTGATATGGATTGAAAATCAAACATAACTACATAGAAAATAGTTGGTACCAGTAGAAAAGGTTATTTACCTGTATTATAGCAAACACCCCCTAATGAAAGATCGACACAGGACGTCTAGAAAAGCAAAAATCGCAACCCTACACGATATTCAACCACACATCGGGGAGCATTCCGATTAATCAATCACTAGCGGACGGGGCCCTGCGTTGCAAGGGCTCGCTCATAAACTATTAGGTTCAAACTTGATTCAAATTAGAGACTTGAGATCGATCTCGAATTCGAATTGAGTCAAAAGCTCGAAAGTTTGAGTTCGGCTACCTTTGATTATAGGTCTCTTAAGCAGTCGAGGTGTCGAGCCAAGGTCTCCCTCAATTTCCGAGGTAACAAATCGAGGTCTTCCTCAACTGCTAAAGTGTCAAGCTAAGATTTCCCTACTAGGTGAGGTGTCGAGCTAAGGTCTCCCTTAGTTGACAAGGTGTTGAGTTGAGGTTTCCCTCAGTTGTCGAGGTGCTGAGTCAAGATCTCCTTTAGTGACCGAGGTGTTGAGCCGAGGTCTCCCTCAATGGTCGAGGTATCGTCTAACTTGAGCTCGATTCGAATTAGAGACTTGAACTTGAGCTCAAAAGTTCGAGCTTGGCTCGACTCGAACTCAACTATCTTTGGTTGCAGGTCCCCTAATAGCCAAGATGCCGAGATGGGGTCTCCCTCAATTGGAGAGAGAGTGGCATTCTTGTAATTTATAAGGAGAGAGATGGCATTTTTGTAATTTGTAAGAAAGAAAGAGAGAGAGAGAGAGAGTAGTATTTTTGTAATTTAAAAGAAAAAAAAGGCAAAAGAGAGAGAGTTGTTAGAGAGTGGTATTCTTGTAATTTCAATCAAGAAAAAGGCAAAAAATACTGTTAGATTCCATTTTCCTAATCCTCAAGTTTTATTAAGTACACATTTCATCTTAATATATTTATATAGATAGATATAGATATAGAAATAGATATAGATTACATAGTTTCAGATTTGTGAATCATGTTATGTGCACCAATGGGTTCAATGACACATGAACCCACCAATCACAATGGTCGTGTGGGCCAATATTCATTACATTAGCCGGCGTTTGACTGTTAACATGGGATAACCTGTTCAATCGGACACAAAAAGACAAACTAAATAAATTGAAACTCAAATTTGCTTTCTTTGGGCTGATGCTGCAACGATAGTCCACACAGCAATACTACAGCAGGGTCTCTCTCTCCTACTTCAACTCCACCAATCGGTGGTTTGATTAATGGACGGACGACAAGAAAGCTTTGCACTCGCTTGACTCGTCTTCCTTCCTTGGCTTCCGAGCTTGCTCCCGCCGCTGCAGAAACTGGAGAGGCGGAGATTCCGGTTTTTCTTCTCCTCTTTCAGCAACTGTGGAATTTTCTCAGTTTCAAGATTTTTCGTCGTTTCACCTGTTCCTGGGAGCTTCGGGTTTCGTGAGGTGTCTAATTTGTTTTACTTACGTAGAAACTGAGTCAGTTTATTAGAGGTTTCGGAGCTTTGCTTGCCTGACTGACTACTTCAGTAGTTCATTCTTTTGTACTTTTTTAATAATGTGAAATTTCAATTGCGGTTGTTTTACGTGAACATTTTCAGTTAGAATTTTCTGTTCATGTATGTGTTAAGCATATTTTTCTTTTGGATTTTTCTGTTTGTCTGTATCTGAATATCATCTCGGATTTCTCTTGTTTATTTTCGTTCTGAGAATCCTCTCTTACCTTGATGCTTAACTGATTAAAATCACTGGTTGATCTAGTCAAAGTGGGCGGGTTTTGAGGACTTGAGGTTGTTATTGGATTTTTCAAATTTTTTTCACCCGGAACTCGTCCGAGTTTGTTTCATCCATTTCGTTTTTAGTGAAATCCAAAATATAAGGTTTGGATTTCACTTTGTTTTTAGTGAAATCCATTTCGTCCGAGTTTGTTTCATCCATTTTGTTTTTAGTGAAATCCATTTCGTTTTGATGTCAGCAGAAATTAGGGTAAAATTTCTTAAACTATCCTTATCGTTTAGTTAAGGCTCAAGGAGTATAAATGCAAATATGTACATTGTAAATACATACAAAATATAAGGTTTGCACTCTACATATTTGCATTTGTATTCCTTCAAAACTGAGCCTAATTGATTAAGTGTATTCTTACTGTTTAAAAATTGACTAACGCTATTCCTATTGTTTTTGACAATGAACTAATACTTCCCTTGTGGTTAGTGCCCATTAACAGAAAGACAAAAAAGACTTTTACCCTTTATTCTTCTTCAAATTTTAAAATAAAATAGAAAAAATTTTAAGACTGATCACTGATAAGAAAGCTTATCAGGGTATGTGATATAGATTCCACCATAAATAACATAACAAATGCCGAAACAACGAAACATGTATATCTATAGCTTAGGAAAAAAACTTAAAAAGAATTTCAAATATGAAAAAACACAGACCATTGAAGATTTTCTCTGTATTGTTTAGCAATTTCTATTTTTATTTTCATGACGCCATCATCACCAACATGTTCAAACCAGTGAGATTGAAGCTTTCTATGTCGCAAACTTCTCACAACACATCTTTGTTTTTTATTTTTTTGCCGCTGGATCCTTTTGGCTTTTAATCTGGTTCTGTTCTATAATTTCAATTTGATGCCAGTAAAGCCATGCCTATTCCATATAAATGTGTTATCAATGCCAAATGTCAAGCTTAGGAGGACCCCGGGTAATTAGGCTAAGAATCAGGGCCTGTCTCTAGAAATGAGGGAAGAAATTAATGAACAATATAGAGTCATGACGTACAATCGAGAGAATCATGGCTTCAGCCTTCAGAGACTTCAGAGAATACATGTCCGCCTAAGAACCATGCCTTCTGTAAATCCCTCGGAATTACTCTTCCTCAACCACCACTTCAATGTTCGTTCCAGTGAGTTGCGAATGACTTCTTCCACAGCATCCGCTTGGCTCTTTCAGCGATAGTTGTCAAAAAGATATCGTCCGAATTTTTTAACTTCTTTCGAAACTTCTCTTTCCGGACAACAACCTTTCATTTTTTGCTTAGAAGTAATGTTTAGGCTAAACGAAGAAGAAGAGGAACATGTGCATGAGGATGTGAAGAGCACAGTCCTGCTAGGGTGTGATTCGTTGGACGAAGTCATCCAGGTTATGAGAAATGATCAATAAGGAAGTGGAACTTGTATGCCGAGTTCTTGGAACAAGGCTATCCGAAGGGTTTAAACATCGGTTGATGTATCGATTACAGGAGAGAGGCCTCGACGCAGGTGATTAACACACCAAACAACCTTACTTTGTTTTTATTTTTCTTTTCCGGTGTTGAACCGGTGCTGATGTCGCTGTTGCTACACTGCTGTGGCTGTCAAAGAAGAGAAGGTTGAAGAGGGATGAGGGTAATATTGGATTTTAAAAAATATATACATCACATGTGTATGGATTTTGACGGAGGATGCTAACAACAGGGGTAGAGTTAGTCAATTGTTAAAAACAGTATGAATAGTGTTAGTCAATTTTCAGACAATAAAAATATACTTAATCAAATAATTAAACCATAAAAGTAATTTAAGAAATTTACCTTAAAAATTATTAATTTTAGAGAAAGTAAAGGATACAAGAACTTGAAAAATTGAGATGAATTATTCTGTTGAAAAGAGGAAACACAGAAAGCCCCTTTGTAAGAAGAAGAAGAAGAAGAGGCCAGAGAACGTATCACCCAATGTATGAGTAGGGTTCAGTGGAGGAAAAGCAATAAAATGCAAAATGGGAGGGAGGATTCGAACTGGCGTTTCTTATTTAGTTTTGGTCTTTTTGTATTTGATTGAACCGGCTATTCGAAGTTAACTGTCAAAGGCTCGTTAAGAATGTTGACTCCAGACACGTCGTCGATTGTAATTGATGGATTCACGTGTCCGGATGGACTGAACGCGGACTCCAGATTTTGTGACTTTTAATGGAGACGTTTTACTGCAGATAATGCATCATACGAATCCGAATCATTGCGTAGTCTAAGGTGGCTCCCACACAAAATGTTCTAGATTTGTGGCGTAAGATGTATTTCTATTTTCTACCCGATAAAAACAACACACACAATAATCTCAAACAAATCTAACTTTCACTTTATATATTTAAACGGTCGGATTCAAATCATGATTCCCCGAATATCATCGGATTCAGTATTCATAAAACCGTGCTCACACCGTTTTCACAGCCACTTGTAGCTGTGTATTAAGAATATCTCTCCATAAATGAAAACATGCAGATACTCCTAATAAACGATTATAAGTGATGAGTACGGAGTGAACACGCCTTGGGAGGACTGAATCGGATTTCTGTTTTTCTGCACGTGGCACAATCAGCACATGTTTTTGAACCGACCCGTATAAATAGCTGAAACGCAGAGAAAGGCGGGAAAAGAGAACCCTGAAGCGGGGCGAGAACTTCTTTTCCCGGGCGATTGTTTCCTAGGTTTGTCGCTTTCCGGGGAATATCCGGCAACTTCGTAGCCGGAAAAATGGTGGACGTCGTAAATATGGGTGTTCTGGACGAAATCCAATCTCTCGTTTCTGATAAGCTTCAAGTGGTAATCTCATCTACTTCTCCCTTCAATCTTCTTCTGATAAATCAGATTTTCTCATACTTATCCCTAAATTTCTTGTAATTACCATATGCGTATACTATTAAAAACTAGAAATAGTCCCCCCATAAGTGTTCGGTTCCTGATCTTATCGTTTTCATTTGCCCTTTCCCAGTATTGTTGCTTCCCGCTGGTACAAAGGGTTCTGTCTTCTGTTAATATTTCTTCTATCATTTTATTCACTGTTATTCGTTATTCGGTCAAGTCTGTTTGGGTTGATACAGGAATATCTGAACCGGTTTTCCATCCAGAAAACCTATTGCCTACCTAACCGGAATTTCCCATTTTTGTTATCTATTTTTGGTATTCAAGGTAAATTCATGGGAGAAGAAATCGAACGAGAATTAGAGGGTCAGTAGCTACTATTACTTCGGATCATGTTTTTCTTCTGATTTACTGGTGATGTGAACTGCAAATTTGTGATAATGCTGTATAAGACATCTTAAGAAGCCTGGATAGTCTATCGAGTAGACAATGGATGTTGTACATGTTGATGTAGCTAGGTTCAACAGTTTGGAACATCCTCTGCTTTATATCCAATAGCCGATCCTGTTTTCCTGTACTGGAGTTGTTGCTGGTGAATATCCTTTGGGCTAATCTTTATGTAGTTCTTTTTTTTTATTTTTTTAGTAGAAATGAAGATATCAGAGATATTTGTTCGTAAATATGGGTTATTTAGTCTCAGTTAGAGTAAAAATACAAATATGTACTTATGGAGAGTGCAAAACCTCGTATTCTGTATGTATTTGTACTGTACATATTTGTATTTGTACTCTTTCCAAACTGAGCCTCAAGTATTTTTCATATGAATAAATTGATCCGAATGTCATTTCCCTCACTCTCTCTCTCTCTCTCTCTCTCTCTCTCTCCCTTTCTCAACAAGTCTGGGTTATTCAAGTGCTTTTCATATTGATAAATTGATTTAAGGAGTAAGGGGCCATTTCTTTGTTCTTTGTGTGATTGATAGCAGATTATATATGACAAGGATAGTCCAGTATGGATCAGCTCAAGCTTAGATTGAGTTGCTTCACAATAGCAACTAGGGAATAGCAGTTGGAACTTGGTTGCTTTTGTCAATAAGAAATAATGATGGTGGCATAAAAGAAATACCCTTTACCGATAAAGAAAAGCATGGTGGGCTGGTTCAAGTCTTAAAAAAAAATATTTTACTGAAAAGAAGACTGAAAAGAACACTTTTGTCTTATATAGAATGTTTTAAAGGGAAAACACAGGGTGATGGTTCAAAGCTTAAAAAGGAAGCTTGAGATGAGAGCCATTTAAGTGGTTGAATGACCTCCATTTTGGCTATCCGTTTTTTCACCAAAAATTTTAGTTTTCTGTGCCTTGAAATTCATGAAAACTAAAAGGCTGTAATAGGATAGCTCTCTCAAAAGGGTATTCATTTGATCCTTGTCATTTAGCTGGTCCAAACTCCAACCAAACTCTGGTTAACTTTCCTTCACAAGGCTTCAATTTGATCCTTGAAACAAATCAAGAATGAATTTTCTTTCTTTGGTTTCATCAGTTTACCTCTTTCGAGTAAAACATGTCTATTATATTTTGGGACTTAAATGCAGGGATTTGGCTTTTACTCTCAGTCTCCTAGGAGTGGTTCAATATACAATATACCTTTTGGGTTTTGGTCTGTTTCTATTCTTTGGTCCTTCATGCAGGCTTTTATGCACCTTCAGGCATCAACAGAGGTGTATCGGTACTTTAACTGATACACCTTTTAGTTTTTTTTAGCTTTTTTTCTCAAATTTTAGTTTTAAGTATAATTATATATATTATTTTAATACAAAAAGGATTTTGTAAAACACCTGTAAATAGGTGTACCGGGATCCAGAGATACGATATGATACACCTGATGCAGGGTGTATCATGTTGATACTTTGAACCTTGCCTTCAGGTCATCCACTTGGTATCTGTATAATAAGTTGATGCTCTCTTATCTGTACATCTAGTGCTATTGTTTGGCTGTTATGCTGTGACTTCAATTTTCAGCCTTTCCTTGAAGTCAGGGAACTTAGAAGTGGCATCTTAGTCTTTTTTCAGTCATACATATTAACTTGGGATTTTTAAACCTTTTCCATCATATTTTAACATGTCTGCTCTATGAATCTAGTTTTCAGTTTTTTTATATTACTTATTAGTAATGGTAAGCTGGTCCAATGACCACGGTGAGCCCCTTTAGCCCATTACCATACATCTCAGATCTCTCTTGGAATGTTTACCCCTTTGAAAACTGTTTTTCATGGTGAACATCTCGGTCTTGCCATGATCTTTTCACTAGCTTAACATTTCCCATTAGTATTTATCCATATATTGTTTAATTATCTTCCTCTTCACTCCCCTAACATGCAAAAATGCCTAAAGTTGTTGATTTTATATACAACAACTAAAATATCTTTAATTAAGTAGCGTCATTGTAATTTGAACAAAAATGATTCAGGGAAGTTTCATCACTTACAATTAATAAGGTACTCCTACCCAAATAATCAAATAATGTAATCTGACAAATATAAAATATGAAAGAATAATGGGTTTGATTGAAATGCATCAAATCATATGGGAAATAGTGCACAACGCCTTATCAAATTTCTGGAGTGCCCTGTTTATGTGACAATAAAAAAAGAGGGAGAATATTATTGGAAGGCAGCTAGGGCAGCAATAGTTTGGACAATTTGGAAAGAAAGAAATGAAAGAACCTTTAAGGAAAGGTGCAGATCCATGGAAGACATTGTGGAAGGAATAAAGTTAAAGTCTGCTCTTTGGGAAAAAAAAGCTATGGAACTTTCCAAGTGGTTGCAATAGATGATATTTTAAGAGCTTGGAAAGAAGTAGCAAATTCCTACTCGGTGAAAGAAAACATAGTGATGGAATGGAAGCATCCTCCAATTAACAGGGTGAAGCTAAACTTTGATGGAAGCTCCATGGGTAGCCAAGGTTTGTCAGGGACTGGAGGTGTCTTTAGGAATGCAGAGGGGAAGGTGGTGACATTCTTCTTGGGTCCAATTGGAATGAGGGACTCTAAGAGCCAAAGTATTGGCCCTACTTCAAGGTATGTAGATTGCAAAACAGCGGGGATATCAACATTTGGAGGTAGAGGGGGATTCAAAGCTGGTAATAACATGGATGAATGACAATAACCTGCGTATGTGGATCCACAGGCATATTATAGGAGAGATTAAGAGTATAGCGAAGGATTTGGGGGCAACATTCATATGGATAAAGAGAACAACAAATGGGATGAATGACACACTGGATAAACAAGGGGTTTATAGGGAACAACTCTTTTGGGCAGATTTGTAATTGGGGTTCCTATCAAATTGCAAGGGGGCTGAACTCACTTCAAACAGCAATCTATGTATTTATGCCTCTGTTGAAATTAATGAAATGAACTCCTGTATTGATAAAAAAATGCAGTTTGGCTCTTCACTTTTTAAGACTACAACTTATTTACTGATTACTTTGTTGGATGTTGCTACCATTTTTGCTACTCTTGGAGTAAAATGACTTCACTTCTCAGGTGTCTTACAAGTGGCTTAGTCGCAACTTCTCAGTGTCTTCAAATGATGCAAAGAGGTACACATTCCTATATTGAATTTTCTTGTAATTTTAAGTTTTTAACCTTTTTCCCTTCACTATAATTTAGTTGCTTGTCATCATATCAGGTTGCTTCTGGAATTCATTGAAAAGCATGGAAGTGGTTTGGAAATAATATATACATTGTCTGGGTGGTTAAAGAAAAATCCTTCGGTTTACAATATAAGGCTTGTTCCTGGACTAAAACTTGCAGGTTAGATGATCTTATCTTTTAATATTAATTACTTATAAGAAAGAGGTAGTATCTCATGTTTCCGGCTCATAATTTTTCTATTTACAATTTTTAGCTGAAAAAATACAAAGAACATTCAACCAAGAATTGCTCAATCACTTTGCCTTTTTTGGGACTATGTATTATTGGGGTTTAATTTATGTATTTTCCTAATGATTTTACCTTTCAAATAATGTTAATTTATATTAGATTAACATTTCAATGGAGGCAATTGTTCTCACAAGTTTTTTTTTTTTTTTTGAAAGACGAAAATAGCATTGTATTACTGTATATAGGGAAGGGGAGAGCTATGCCCAAAAATGCAAATGGTATTGTATTACTGAGTCGGAAATAGTATTGTTGTCACAAGTCGTCAACTATTTAAGAGCTTATATCTCATTTCTTCTAGTTGTCAAGGTTCGATCCGTATTATATTTTCTTAAGCTGACTTAACTCTTGGCTTGCAATGGCATGGGGTAGGCAAGTCTATCTTCAAAGTGGAACTTGTGGCCTTGGCCCAAACTCATTCCTGGGTTAGTATTGCTGAACTTAAATTGGTTTCAATGGGTTGACAAGGTTAGTTTCCAAGATTGCCAAACCTATCAACGTTAAGCTAGTAAAACATGAATGACATGGACATTGACCTTACCTGTAACGATCTACATTATTCACATACTTGTTTAATGGAATTTGGTTCTTAAATTTTAGTTTACAGAAGTTAAAGAAAGATACTAAAAAATTATATTGTATTTGTAACCCCATAAAGTAAACGAGACATGTGCCTAACCAATTCTTTATTTGACGTCTCTTTAATCATCAACTATCAGTCCTTTGCAAATGTGACTACAAGTTTCATGTTTGACATAATAATTTGTTAGCAAGATATGATTTGTGGCAAATTAAGAAAGATATGATTTGCTACAAATTTAGAAAGATTTGATTTGATTGATTACAGATTTAAAAAAATTTAGGAAAGATTATATTTGAATAAAATTAGGAAAGTCATATCCTAGGATTAAGGGAAAGATTTAATCAATCCCTAATTGAGAAAGATTCTAGGAGTAATTGAGAGAGATCCTAGGAGTTTGTCTCTCCTATCTTTTCCTATTTAAGTTGTATGCTCAACATGTTTTTTCAACACATTATCAATACAGAAGTATTTTTTTCTCTCCCTCTTCATTTCTTCTTTTCTTCCTCTTTATTTTGCCACATGGTATCAGAGCTTTAGGGTCTGATCATGAATTCTAAGGCTGCCATGGTTGGCTTTGGTTCAGCCTCTTTGGATGCTACCAGTGGTGTGACATCTTTGGAGGGAGGTATTCARTYAKCGRYCATCTCTCTYTYTGAGAATTCTCTTCAAATTACCATTCACAAATTGAATGGAAAGAATTATCTTGAGTGGTCTCAGTCCGTGCGGTTGGTGATCGACGACAAAGGGAAACTCGACTATTTGAATGGCGAAGTGAAACTGCCAGCCATTGATGATCCAAAATACAAGCAGTGATGTTCTGAAAATTCAATGGTTACTGCCTGGTTGATCAACTCTATGGATCCTGTGATTGGAAAACCATTCATGTTCCTACCAACTGCTCGTGATGTGTGGGAAGCTGTTAGGGAAACCTATTCAGATCTGGACAATCATTCACAACTGTTTGAACTGAATACCCGAATGTGGAAGATGCAACAAGGTAAGCATGAAGTAACTGCTTATTATAATGAGATGATGGCTGTTTGGCAAGAACTGGATCTATTTGAAGAAGAATGGGAAAGTCCGAGTGACAGTGCTCGGTACAAAAAGAAGATATAAAGAGGCTGGGTCTTTGTCTTCTTGGCTGGTTTGAATAAAGAACTCGATGAGGCTCGGGGACGTATCTTAGGGCAAAAGCCTTTGCCTACTATAAGAGAAGTTTTTTCAGAAGTGCGTAGAGAAGCATGGCGGCAAGTGATATTGAAGAATGTTAATGAAACAAAAAACTGAGAATGAAGGGTCTGCTCTTGTGTTCCGAGGAGCAGATGTAGATGGAGATAAACGAGGAGGAAAGCAAAGGCCTTGGTGTGATCATTGTAAAAAGCCATGGCATACTCGAGAAACCTGCTGGAAGCTGCACGGGAAACCAACAGGTTGGAAGAAAAAATCAGACAGTGACAACAAGTCAGGGGGAGATGTCTGCGCGCTTCAAGTAAGTAATTCGGATCCAGGGCAGCAATCATCTTCAGAGTCTCTTCCTTTCACAAAGGAACAAATAGAGCACTTATATAAAATGTTTCAAATCTTCAGAGTCTCTAGCCCAGTCAGGTAATTTTTTCACTACAGCCATTGCTTGTACCAAATCTAATGGCTCCTGGATATTAGATTCAAGTGCCACTGATCATATGACCGACACTTCACAATTCTTCACTTCATATACACCCTGTGCAGGGAATCAAAAGGTTAAAATTGCAGATGATTCCTTTGCTACTGTTGTTGGGAAAGGAACTGTGTCTATTTCTCATTCTTTAAACCTTAAAGATGTTCTACATGTTCCTAACCTATCATACAATCTCTTATCTGTCAGCAAACTAACCCTTGATCATAATTGTTGGGTTAATTTTTTGTCTTCTTGTTGTGAATTTCAGGATTTAACCTCGAGGAAGATGATTGGGGGTGCTAAACTGGATGGTGACCTCTACCTCTTTAATAAAGGATCAACCTTTGAAAGGCAAGACCGATAGACCTGTTTTAGCTCTATCTCTGTTTCTAGTGACAGTGAAGTTTTGTTATGGCATTATCGATTAGGACATCCTAGCTTTCAATATTTAAAGCATCTATTTCCCAAGTTATTCATGAATAAAAATCATTCGTGTTTTAAGTGTGAATCTTGTGAATTAGCAAAACATCATCGTGTCGTTTTTCCGTCCCAACCATATAAAGAATCAAAACCATTTACCATGATTCACAGTGATGTTTGGGGTCCTTCTAGAGTAACAACTCTTTCCGGAAAGCATTGGTTCATTACTTTTATTGATGATCATACTAGGGTCATTTGGGTTTTCCTTTTAAAAGAGAAATCAGATGCTGAAACTGTGTTTAAAACTTTTTATAACATGGTTCAAACACAATTTCAGACTCAAATTAAAATTTTTCGAAGTGATAATGGAAAGGAATTTTTTAACAATGTGTTAGGGAATTTTTTTGTTGAGAAAGGAATTGTATACCAAAGTTTGCGTAATAATACACCTCAACAAAATGGGGTGGTTGAAAGGAAAAACAAACATCTCCTTGAAGTTGCTAGAGCCCTAAATTTTCAAACTAAGGTTCCTAAGTATCTTTAGGGAGAAGCCGTTTTAACAGTCACTTATTTGATTAACAAACTGCCTACACGAATTTTGGATTTTAAAACACTCATACAAGTTTTCATTGACTATTTTCCAAACTCTCGGCTAGTGACAAACATTCCCTTAAAAATTTTTGGAAGTGTGGCTTTTGTTCATAGCCATGATCCTAAACGTTCAAAACTTGATCCAAAAGCACATAAATGTATTTTTGTAGGCTATCCCACTAATCAAAGAGGTTACAAATGCTTTGATCCAGTTTTGAAAAGGATGTTTGTGACTATGGATGTCACATTCTTTGAAGGAACCTCATACTACAGACACTCCCATCTTCAGGGAGAGAGCAACACTAGTGAAGATGGTCTTTTAGATGGTTATGATTTAATGTTTGAATTTGTCCATAATGATGTTCCTCACAACCTGTCACTGAAAGAAAGTGAGGCAGAAAATACAAAATCAGTGAAAACAAATGAATTAAATATTGAAAATGAACAACCTTCGGTGATGCCATCTCAAAATGAAAAAGCTAAAACAACAGAGATGCGTGCGAAACAATATAAAGGCCTTGTATATTGAAGGGAACATCTAGCACTGAAAAGGAGAGGCATTATTCTGCAGCATCAACAAGAATCTGATCTGAGGGTGGATCATGAAATTCATGATAATTCCTCCAGGTAATTCTAATTCTTCCAGTCAGTTTGATCTTCCCATTGGTCTTAGGAAAGGTGATAGGACTTGTACAAAACTTCCTCTGTCAACTTTTGTATCTTACAAAAATATTTCACCTTCATATTGTGCCTTTATTTCAAAAGTGTCTAGTGTATCCATTTCTAACAGTAGCCAGGAGGCTCTAAATGTTCTTGAGTGGAAAGAAGCTATTTTTGAGGAAATGAGAGCTTTGGAAAAGAATGTTACTTGGGAGAAAGTGGATCTGCCGGATGGAAAGACAGTTGTTGGTTGTAAATGGGTGTTCACTCTGAAGTACAACTCAGATGGATCCTTGGAGAGATACAAGGCTCGCCTTGTAGCTAAAGGCTTTACTCAGACATATGGAGTGGACTACTCTGAGACCTTTTCTCCA